GCAGGAGCAGTAGCAGGAGCAGGAGCAGTAGCGGTAGCAGTAGCAGTAGCAGTAGCAGTAGCAGTAGCAGTAGTCGTAGTAGTAGAATGGAGAGTTGTTCCGAAGGGGGTCCCACGACCAACTGAACAACTGATGCTGCCATCCGCCGGTGCGGATCTACGCTTTGCCGTTGCTAAGGCTACGTTGGATAGATGCCGTTCTTGCATAAACAGGTGGCTAGGCAGTGTCTTATGAACTCAGGAATAAATCTAGCTCCACTGCTCTATCCCCAAATGAATCGAGTAGCAAGTTCTGCTATTTCGTCAAGTCGCAGCCCTATGCCTCAGCTCTGTTGCAAAAAGCGGCTACAACCCTTGGTGCGTTATGGCGTATGTATATATATATATATATAATATGCATATACATACATACATGCATGCATTCAGACGTTTGCATAGTAGTATACATACTTACAGCTGGCAGGGCACCACAATACAACTGTAGTGTGAGTTCAAACTGGCCTCTTCACCTACCTTGCCCGCTTGTCAATTTCTCGTCCGCTTCGATGAGCTTGTTGCTACAGCTGCCCCGAGGCATCTACTGCATTGTTTTTTTGTTGCATCGACTGATTCCATTGCATGAAGTTCATGAAGTTCATGAACTTGCTACCCGCCTTTGCAGAGAAGAGGAACTCTTCCTGTCCGGTAGTCGTGAATAGATCCACCAGAAGCTGGGCGTACTGGACCGTTCTGGCACTGCCCAAAGTCTCCAGCATTGTCTTTGCCTCAGTCTGACATGGACAAACTGGGACGTAGCATCGTGGCAATATTACCTGACAATATGGTAACGAGGATCTCCTGTGGTTCTGTAACATACTGGCATACAGCTGCGTGAAGCCATGCGACATATGCGGTTGTATGCATGTCCACATACGTGCCTATGTTCCTTCATTCCTACACACATACACACATATACACATACATTCGTACACTCACAGATACATTCATGCACACATACGCACATGCATACGTGCGTGCGTATGTACGTACGTACATACATGCAAGCAAACAAAAACTACCTACATACACAAGCCTACGTACATGCGTGCCGGCTCCTTTGCTGCACAGAGGCTATCCTCAATTCCTAAACCCTTAACCCTGAACCCTGAACCCTAAACCCTTAACCCTGAACCCTAAACCCTAAACCCTAAACCCTAAACCCTAATCCTCGAACCCTTGTTTTCAGCTTTACGGTTGGAGCGTAGGGTTTAAGGATTTGGGCAGTTCTCTAAGTTAGGGTCCCTTTTGGGTTTAGGGTTTAGGGTTTAGGGTTGAGGGTTTAGGGTATAGTACGGCACCCTTATAATATGGACCCTGAAAGGGACCCTAATTTCGAAAACTACCCATTTAGGTTTCGGGATCTTTGGGGCGCACACCTGCAGGCGTATCTTTCGATACATGCATTGGGTGTCGGGGTTTCAGAACATACGGAGCCTTGAATACTAGGGATCCTTTTCAACACACCCCTGGATAAGCCTTCTTTTCGTACATATCACCGCAGGGTTCACAGAACACGAAAACCCTGAAATGTCCAAGCACATCTAAACCCCCAACAATCACAATGCCCAGCTGCCTCCATGTAGTAGCCCCTCGCTCCTTCCCAATCCTTGGTTGCTTTTCTGCAAACCCTCCACGGCAAAACCCGAATGAAAGCGTTACAGCGGTTTAGGGTTTAGGCCAGAGAACCCGAATACCCCTTAAACAAGGAATATGCCTTAAATTATCGGGGCCTTACCATGAAAAAATAAGGCAGTTCGTTGGCCCTCTGTGTTTGCGGCCGGGCCGAGGCGGACGACGCGAAGCGTTTAAAATTTCTTAATTAAGGGGGACTGGGTTCTCTGGTTAGGGATGACCCGAAAGCCGTAAAAAATCCTTGGTTCCCCGGACCCAAAATACCTAGCAGCCCTGCATAACCCCCAGGTCAGAACCGCCCACCCAAGCCGAATGAAAGCAAACAGCCCTTAGCCTTGAACTCCTAGACCCCAAAACCTCAAAACCCAAACCCCTAAACCCCTAAACCCCTAAACCCTAAACCCCTAAACCCCTACACCCTGAACCCTCACACCCTAACTCCTACACCCTAAACCCCTAAACCCCCCTAAAGCCCCTAAACCCCTAAACCCCTAAAGCCCCAAAACCTCTTCAAGCCCCCTAAACCTCTACACCCCTGAAGCCCCCTAACAACCTCTTCAAGCTCCCCAAAACCTCTTCAAGCTCAGCTTGGACTCCTAAACCCTAACCCAGCCCCAAAAACCTCTTCAAGCCCCAAAAACCTCTTCAAGCTCAACCCTAAACCCTAAACCCTATACCCGAAACCCTAAACCCTAAACCCTAAACCCTGAACCCCAAGCTCAGCTTGGACTCCTGCCGTCGTACAACCAACCGACCCAGCAGTCGGAGCCCCAGGGCTCCATCCAGGCTCTCCCTCGAATGCACCTCCGACTTTAAGGGTTCAGGGTTTTTAAGGCTTAGGGGTGTCGGGGCTTATGGATTAGGGCACCTCCGACTTTAAGGGTTCAGGGAAAGACTTGGCTTAGGGGTGTCGGGGCTTATGGATTAGGGCACCTCCGACTTTAAGGGTTCAGGGTTTTTAAGGCTTAGGGGTGTCGGGGCTTAGGGATTAGGGCACCTCCGAATTAGGGGTTCAGGGGTTTTTAAGGTTAAGGGCTTAGGGTTTAGGGTTTTAGGTTTTAGGGTTTAAGGCTCTCCCTCGAATGCACCTCCGACTTAGGGGTTTAGGGGTTTAAGGGGTTTAAGGGGTTTAGGGTTTAGGGTTTAGGGCTTTAGGGTTTAAGGTTTAGGGGTTTCGGGGCTTAGGCTTTAGGGTTTAGGGTTCAGGGTTCAGAGTTTAGGGTCTAGGTTTCGGGGTTTAGGGTTTAGGGTTTAGGGATGTTGACGTTGAGGTTTGGGAGTTACGGATGTTTAGGGTGCAGGACCCCGAAGTTAGCACCATAAATCCTAACCGCTCCCAACCGGTTTCTCTAAATGTTCCCAGGCCGAGTCCGTTGAGACCGCCCTTACGGCGTTGCAAGCCGATGCCCCAGATCCCAAACCCTAAACTCTACCTGTCGCCGGCCCTAGTAGCCCTCACCACAAACAGAAGCACAACAAAAAGCACCAGCAGAACCGCAGTTTTCTGGTGCTAAGTGTTATGCTCATGATTTTGCTTTTTCTGGTGCTGAATTTTGTGCTCATGACCGTGCTTTTTCTGGTGCTAAGTTTTGTGCTCTTGATTGTGTTTTTGGCTGGTGCTAAACTTTGCGCTCATGGTTGTGCTTTTGCTGGTCCTAAATTTTGTGCTCATGATTCTGCTTTTTCTGGCGCTAAATTTTGTGCTCATGGTTGTGCTTTTTCTGGTGCACAGGATTATGCTGTTTTAAAGCATTTGCAGCGTAAAGTCTATTCGCCCCATGATCTCATACTTGCAGTGTTGATTTTTGGCAAACTCCGTGCTAATGATTGTGCTTTTCCTGGTACTAAATTTTATGCTCATGATTGTGTTGTTCTGGTGCTAAACTTCGTGCTCATGATTGCGTTTTTGGCTGGCGCTATACTTTGTGCTCATGATAGCTTTTTCTGGTGCTAAAGGTTGCTATAGATCGAAACCACTGGGCCTTCCAGTCCTGGTGCTCATTTCTGCCTGTGTGATATAAAAGGAACCTTCATGTAGCTGTTAGTGGGGGCGGCAGCATATGAACCCTAAGCCCTAAACCCCTGATTCCTAAACCCCTAATCTGCTAAACCCTAAAGCCCCTTAAACCCTAAACCCTATTCCTAAACCCTTATACCCCAAGCCCCCAAACCCTAAAGCCGTAACCCCTAACCCACTAAACCCTCACCCCACGTTTCGAGTCGACATTGAGGATTCAGGGTTCGGAGCTTTCAGGGTGGAAGAAGTGGAGTTCAGGTGAAGCCTCTAGGGTTGTGGGGTTTAGGGTTTTGGGTTTAGGGTTTAGGGTTTAACCCTAAAACCCTAAACCCTAAACCCTAAACCCACCCTAAAACCCTAAACCCTAAACCCTGAAGAAGTGGAGTCAGGTGAAAGCTCTCGGCTTTTGTAACCACTGTCCGGCTAGGACTTTGGAATTTCGCCTTCCGGCCGCGATGCAGAATGCAATGAGAACTTGAGTAGTGGAGTTGGTGAAGGCGAAAGCTTTTGGCTTTTTGTTTGTATAAGCCCCTACAATTAAATCTGAATGGTTTATGCTCGTTGCACCTATGAACCCCTAGGCCCTTAAGGGTCCATGTACCCGAATAGTATATACTTTGGCTTTAAAGTAGTGCCTATTTAGGACTATTGGGGTACATGGACCCTTATTCAAGAAGTTAGAGAACTTTAGGGTTCGGGGTGTGTATGTTCTACTTATTCTACTTTGCCTCACAGTCGTCGACAAGCTCACACCAGAATCCAGCAGCCTTAGGGTTTAGGGTTTAGGGTTTAGGGGTTTAGGGTTTAGGGGTTTAGGGTTTAGGGTTTAGGGTTTAGGGTTTAGGGGTTTAGGGTTTAGGGTTTAGAGTTTCGGGCATCATGTTGTGGACCTCAGGGTTGGGGTTTATTTCTTGCCAACAACTTGCAGCACGGCTAAACACCACAACCTTTTAGGGGTTTAGGGGTTGCCCGAAACCCCTAAACCCCTAAAACACTAAACCCTAAACCCTATAAAACTCTAAACCGTAAACCCTAAACCCTAAACCCTGTAAAACCCTAAACCGTAAACCCTAAAACCCTAAACCCTAAACCCTATAAAAAACCCTAAACCGTAAACCCTAAAACCCTAAAGGGTTTAGGATAGCCTAAACCCTAAAGGTCCCTTTTGGGTTCATTGGAGCCCACGTCCTGGTCCTCTGAGAATCCACGTGCCTTTTGCAGGCTTGCGCGCTGTAGTGTTTTGTACCACAGGGGCCTTAATAATCCCTAGGGCTCCAAGTAGTCCTTATTAGTGGTTTTAGGTACCCCAAAAGGACCCAATGTCCTTAAATAATGGGCACTTGGAGGACCCTTAGAGAATTAGAATGGGGTTTTGGGGTCCATTATACTACAATTATAATAAGGAGCCCCCCAAGTGGTATTGGTAATTATGAAGGCCATAGGAACCTGCTTCAATCTTAAGGGCCACCCGGGTTCTATTGTTTGGACTGAGAGCCGCAGTATTCTGTGACAGTCTATAGGAGACTCCTCTTCGCAGTCGGGGATCGGGTTGGCTAAGTTTAGAGGCCTTCGTGGTGTGACACTTGGACACAGCTTCAGGCGAGATGGCCCACATCGTCAATGAAGGAGAAGCAGACGAAGGAACGGGACGGAGTGAGTTGCGTGAGTCTAGCGGCTGCAAGTCATATACACACACAGACAGACACATGCAAATACACACAGAGACACACAGAAACACCAGACACACACACAAAGACAAAAAAACACCGAGTGTGCAAGCAAGCGCACACCGCCTGCCCGCCCAGCCGTCTGCTACAAGCCCTAGCATAAAAATCCGTGTCGATGAAGTTCCATGACATCTGCATTACCTGGGCACGCCAAATCTAACCATGGGCCTCACCAGATGGAAGTATAGAACATCAGGGACACACATGTATACCCAAATTGTTGTTCTGATCCTTCCAATGCGGCCAAGGCACTCAAGAACCCCCCACCCCCCGCCCCTCCCCCACTCCTGTGTAAGGCAAGGCTTATATTGGCAGGAGCCTGAAGACAGATTGGGCTTGAGCGGTCGTCTGCTTCTTGAGCCCTGAGTTTATAAATAAGGTTTTCGTAGGTCTGATTTTGCGGAAACCGGAGCTTAAAGGTTTGCTTTCCTAGTGACTGAAAGACACTCGAATCGTTCGACCGCTAGGGCGTGCATGTTTTGTCGCCGAGCCTTTGCTATGCGCTTCACCTTACAGTCTGCAGCTACACAGCCAGCGTACAACTCGTTCCGCAGCATAAACTTCTTGCAGCATCACTGTCTTTGTACAAAACGTAGCTATATTTTTTACGCGGTTTCAACACTTGAGTTCAGGCCGATGCATGCCTGTCTCAACCCAAAGCCGGACTGGGTCAGAAACCCTAATACTTCGGCAGTTGACAGAGCTGCGATTCAAAGAGCCGTAGTATCTGTGTCTCAAATCCTATACCCACAAGCCCACGGCGATTTCGGGAGCGGAATTTGAAATCAGTCCGATGTTGCATATTTGTCTAGTGGCACAGTTTCCCTCTTGTGACACGTGGCTCGTCTACAAGCCGTCTGAACCCTAAGCATCCCGTCATCCAGGCTAGCAAGGAGATTGACACCGGGCTAGCCGAGATCCGGGCAGCCTTCAACGACTCACGCAGGAGTGCAAAGTACGGCTTAGGGTCTTTGGGATGTGTGGGGTTTCATAGGTTCTGTACGGATTTGTAGAGTCTGTAGCGTTGCATAGACTCTCTAAGGGTTTATAGGGTTTGTTGGCTTCAGTGCCGTGTTGGGACTTAAAGTGGTCGGGGATTCAGCTCCACTTTCCCACATGCGGGAATCTTTCATTTCAGCTCCTACGAGTGAAGCCTTATGTTACCCCTAAACCCTAAACCCTAAACCCTAAACCCTAAACCCTAAACTTATGTTGGTACAATGAAGGCATGAAGGGGTCCCGAGCTCCAAGCTCCCTAAGAGAGCCGCTGACGATTTTGCTTGGAGGACTTGTACCAGGCACGGCTACGTAGGACGACAACGACTGGACTTTTGGCGCCTATGATCACTGTTGTTTGCTATTGTAAATGTTATGTTTATTGATCTTACTGTCATTGTGACACATGTTGCTATTTGCTTTATTCATATATTTGTTCAGTTTTCGTCATAATTTTTTTTGATGTTTATTACTATTATTATCGTTATTACGTGTACTAGTAGTGATGTTCTGATAGTCTTGCTGTTACGACCTCAGAACATGTGGCGATGCACGTTGTGGCCGCGGTCATGATTAGCATCAGCTAAAAATTCAACAACACACGCCGGATGGTCGAAGCCTTCAACATTCGGTTCTGGTTCATATCATAGCAGTGACAACAACAGTGCTAGCATTTGCAACACGAGTGGAACTTTCCTATCCCCTGAACCCTACAACCAAAACCCTAAACCCCCTATGCGGTAAGGTTCTATTATTGCATGATGCCATGAGATGTTGTGTTGTTATATAATGGTAGTTGTTTGATTCTGTATTATTATTATTGTTATTATTATTCTAATATCCTGCTGTTATATATATATATACATATATATATATATATATATAGAGAGAGAGAGAGAGTGTAACGCGCTGCA